AATATTACATGTTAATAACTTGATTGGAATTATAACCTTGAATTGACAGTTTGATACTTTGAAAATTTTGAGCCAGCCCTACCCCCAAGGGCTGTAGGGTGGGGCTCAAAGGAGTCAGTGTGCTAAAATTTCTTCATTTTCCTTGTTAAGAATCAGAGGTGCTATTTTCAAATCCTTTTTAGTCTGAAATCTGTATGCTAGATATTGAGTAAGGTGGTTTTATTGTTTTTTGTCACTTTGAATAATATTTCTGTTCATGTTAAAAACAAAATCAACTCTGTATAAATATATCAGGTGACCGTTAAGGCCCATGGGCCTCTTGTCTCACAGACCTCTTTATTTCACAGACCTCTTTATCTCACAGACCTCTTCTATCTCACAGACCTCTATATCTTACAGACCACGATATCTCACATACCTCTTTATCTCACAGACCTCTTTATCTCTCAGACCTCTTTATCTCGCAGACCAAGATATCTCACATACCTCTTTATCTCACAGACCTCTTTATCTCAAAGACCTCTTAATCTCACGGCCATCTTTATCTCACAGACCAAGATATCTCTCAGACCAAGATATCTCAAAGACCTGTTTATCTCACAGACCTCTTTATCTCACAGACCTCTTTATCTCACAGACCAATATATCTAACAGACCAAGATATATCACAGACCAAGATATCTCACAGACCTCTTTATCTCACAGACCTCTTTTTCTCACAGACCAAGATATCTCACAGACCAAGATATCTCACAAAGCTCTTTATCCCACAGACCTCTATAGTTTACAGACCTCTATATCTCACAGACCTTTTTATCTCACAGACCTCTTTATCTCTCAGACCTTTTTATTTCACAGACCTTTATATCTCACAGACCTCTTTATCTAAAAGACCTCTTTATATCACAGACCAGGATATCTCACAGACCAAGATATCTCACAGACCTCTTTATCTAAAAGACCTCTTTATCTCACAGACCTCTTTATCTCACAGACCACTTTATCTCAAAGACCTCTTAATCTCTCAGACCTATTTATCTCACAGCCCTCTATATCTCACGGACATCTTTATCCCACAGACCAAGATATCTCACAAACCTCTTTATCTCAAAGATCTCTTTATTTCACAGACCTCTATATCTCACAGACCTCTTTATCTCAGAGACCTCTTTATCTCACAGACCTGTTTATCTCACAGACCTCTTTATCTCTCAGACCTCTTTATCTCACAGACCAAGATATCTCACAGACCTCTTTATCTCAGAGACCTCTCTATCTCACAGACCTGTTTATCTCACAGACCTCTTTATCTCTCAGACCTCTTTATCTCACAGACCTCTTTTTCTCAAAGGTCACTTAATCTCACGCCCATCTTTATCTCACAGACCAAGATATCGCACAGACCAAGATATCTCACAGACCAAGATATCTCAAAGACCTGTTTATCTCACAGACCTATTTATCTCACAGACCTCTTTATCTCAGAGACCTCTTTATCTCTTAAACCTCTTTATCTCACAGACCTCTTTATCTCTCAAACCTCTTTATCTCACAGACCTCTTTATCTCTCAAACCTCTTTATCTCACAGACATTAATATCTCACAGACCTCTTTATCTCACAGACCTCTTTATCTCACAGACCTCTTTATCTCTCAAACCTCTTTATCTCACAGACCTCTTTATCTCTCAAACCTCTTTATCTCACAGACCTCTTTATCTCAGACCTCTTTATCTCTCAAACCTCTTTATCTCACAGACCTCTATATCTCACAGACATTAATATCTCACAGACCTCTATATCTCACGGACCTCTTTATCTCACAGACCTCTATATCTCAAAGACCTCTTTATCTCACAGACCTCTTTATCTTACAGACCTCTATATCTCACAGACCTCTTTATCTCACATACCTCTTTATCTCACAGACCTTTATATCTCACAGACCTCATAAATATATTTAGGTTTTATTTAGAGTTTGGTGGTCACCAGTCAAGGTTAAAGGGTCAAAGGTCACACTTAATCACTTTGAGGGAATTGGGGAAATATGTGTTCACTTTGCTTTTATTTCTATTAAACTTGACATACCTCGAGGGATACATGGATAATTCAGTAAAGATTAAACACCAAGCAGTCTGGTTCATCAAGAATGACAACAGAAGCACAACTGGAATCCATCTTGATGAAAACGATATTGAACTTGAAACCATGGAGGATGGACAACTCAGTTTATGTCTAGTTTTTATATACAAGGTGGTGGAAGGGTTGGTACTGGCACTGACAACAGGTGATTTTGTAAAATTTCCCATAAAGTAAAAGAACATAATTAATCGTTAATAATTATATTGTGTCAAAAATCATAAAAAAAAGTCTTAAGCAATAACACCAAAGGACTGAAAATCGCCGACAGCAAAACATCTCAGTTCACTTCTCTACCAAATTGTAACTTACTAGATGCTGCTACCATAGAAGCATTTAGATCGCCCTAAGGAACCATTGTCAATATCATCACAAGCAGCACTCTTTCTAACTGTTATATAAATACCATTACAGTGAAATCTTTGGGGGCGAAGACTTTGAAAAAGGAGGGAGGTATTTAGTACTTGGCCAGTTGATTACTGGTGACCAGGTAGCTCAATCTGTTAGATCCAACTTACATCACTGGTGGGGATTTGATGGTGGCCCTTGGACATAACTCACCTAGCAAATTATTTTCGTACAAGTGCTGCAAAAAAAAAATTGTAACTTTACTTTGACTGACAGGAAATAAATTGCTTGATTAGACACTTGTCTGTTAAAGCATAATACATACAAAATTAAAATACTAGAAAAATTTAACCTTAATTTATTTTACAAAAATTATGAAACAAGTTATTTCAACTCATTATTAATCGCTCTTGCTGTGGCCCGGATGTTAGCGAATGGGGGATCTTAATGTGACAGGAAACCGGAGTACCCAAGTGCGCTATCCTCTGCACCACCCGACCGCCCACTAGAAAGACTTAAATCTACCAGTAAATAAAAGTGTAGTATGTAGTGCTACTGATTAGGTCATGTGTGAATGACTTTAATATTAATTTAAACCTTTCCTGACGAGAGATTTATTCACATTAGACCTTTCATTATCTACATATCTTTGATGGTGATGTAAATTTAATTACAATGTACTTGCAACAGGAAAGAGAAAATATAATAGTTGGGAATGTTCTCTAAATCAATCAGCTTCACAAGATAAGTAGGTAGAATATTTTGTTCTTTGCCGAGGATAGAGAGAAGTGTGGTTCCAGCAGTGATCAACCTATCAACCCTGAGCTTCCAAGTATGGCACTCTGCCAATTGAGCTAAAGGGAAATTCCCTCAAGGCTAGAAATTTACTGTAATCATATGAACAATTAAAACTTGACACATACTTTTAAAACATTACCTTTTTATACAATCTAAAGAAGGGGGTATGGTACCTAAATATGTGGACAAACAAGATTGAAATGTGAATAAGGAAAAGTGATAATTGGATGTGTTTCTCTTATTGCTAAATGGAGTTCATTCTGGTCTCTAAAGTCAGAAAGAAAAGTGCCTATTTAATGTGAATGTTTGATCTATCATGGCATTAACAGAATGGTTTGATATTGATACTAAGCACAAAGCCCACGTGTTACTGAAACTTGAATGATGTCAACTATTAGCTGAAATACTTATGTAGACGGGTTCAGGTGCTACACAGATTCTTATAAATCACGAAGAAGCAAATTCCTAGTTACGCAATCGTTGGAGTCGAAAGACCCTCCAATAGCACAAATAAAACATATAAGCACATATTCAATTCATAAAAGATCTACATTATACAATGGACATCAAATTAGCTTTACATAAAGATACACGATACCCGTAACGGTTGCAATTAACATTACGAATTTAATACAATACATTTGAAATACTTGTACATGATAAATTATAGAATTTACCAATTTTGTGCATGAACTATGATAATTACGAGATAATTAAATAGTGCCTTATATTAAAAATACCTCCCCTATCGCTCCGACAGGGGTCTAATGATGATAGCTCTACGTATAATATACGTTGCCTACATAATAGGTCTATGGTTCTGTTGAAAAGGAAAATAACAAAACTTAATATATAGTAAACATGTTTAGCAAATTACTTTTAAAATACTTTAGAGTGAATTACAGTTTCCATAAAAAGATAATGGAAACCACACCCAAAAATACGTTTATCAAAGAAAGATATTTTAACTTCTTCAAATATTTTAACAAATGCAAACATACTAATTCCATAAAGGTTACTCTAAAATATAGTATTTCAAATAGCTCAATACTAATATGTTTCATACACTTACTCTGAAATAAGTAGAGTTCTGTTCACCGCAGTCGGTATAATATATGTCGGTATAGGTTTCTATTACTGGTCTTGTCTCTGTCCAGTGCGGGAGTGAAGATACAAGACGTACAAGTGAACGAGCTGACATGCGATCACGTGACAAGACATTTACATAACAAAACAGCACAGGAAACAAACACTTGAGACACACGTTGACCAGACAAACCGGTTGAACGAGTACGAGAATCGGTATATAAAAAAAGTTAAGTACGTCAGACATACGTACAACTTAAGCATTCTCACTTAGACAATACTATATAGTTTAATAATTTGAATTAAACTCTTATTACAAAATAACCTAAAAAAACATAGCACTGCCAGTCTTATAAACATCATTTCATTTGGCACCTCGTTTTAACTGCCAACATAATACAATGACCCTTTTTCTTGTTTTTAATCAATAATTACTTCATATATTTCCCTCAATTTATCACCAAACCCCTTGATAATCTCTTGACAAATGGTGGCAATATAACAAGGTTTTACTGCAGTATGTGTGTTTTGTATGTAAAAAAGACTTAGAGTCGAGTTGCTTGACAATTCAGATCTAGCCATGTGCTCAATGTAATCTTTTTCATTATTTTCTACTTTTTTGAGAGAGAAAAAACAATTTTTCAAATTATCTTACAATAAATTTTCATACTCACCTGTTCACCTTTGTTACTTGACAACTTGTGTAGACTGTATGAGTGTTTCAGATTTCCTCATCATCAGTTATATTTTCATGTTATACTTAGTAATCATGATACCAACTAGTCTAATGTAAGATGTGTCTACAATATACTGTTAAAATAGAACTGTGTTGATGATTGTCAATAAACAATCATTGAATTGAACATATACGAGTGTCCCTAAATTATGTTAATCTTAGTCACAATAAAATATAGGTCGAGTTCCGCGACAAGATGTAGCCATGTGCTCAATGTAAACATAACCTTTGACCTCTCGCGGAAGTGAATCGATCCAACCTTGCGATTGGTTGGTTTCGGGGTCTATTTACCACGTGGGAAACAATGCGATAACACACAAAGGCAGGGAAGACAGAGAAAGTGAGTGACGGTGTTAGTGGGCCGGTGGATTGCCCCTTACCGGGACAAGTGTATACCTCGAAATTCTTACGGGAGGTAGTTAACAACGCCTTACCATGGCGGGCTTCAAGCTCGGGATTGTCCGCCTTGGCAGAACAGCAGGAAAAGTGAGTAAAACAGGCACTAGCCTCCCCGTCCACAGCAACATGGCGAGCCGGGCAATCCGACCGCCATGCCATTTTTTCGGTCAATAATTCCCTATTTGAAAAGTCCTGTTTTGATGCAGGACTTCATTTTGTAGAAGTCTGCGTTTCGCTGTTGAGTGTGTGTGCGTTTTAGGTTGGCGGGGTTTAAATGGCCCCGGAGCATCCTGTTTGTTGTCGGATGTAGTGGGTGTCCAAAGTACCGTTAGGGAACTGTCAAAACGTCAAACGCGTGACGGCTGTCAAAGGTCCCCACCCCGCTCGGGTAGGGTTGTGATATGACCTATACACACGTGCGACTATTCTAATTTTGTTATTTATTGTAAGTTTTATTGTTTAACCAGATGACTGACGGATTAATGAAATATTCTATTCATGGATTTGTAAAATCGATATTACCGTATTTGCTCTAAAAAGCTGTCAGGCGGACAACTCGTGTCGGTATTAAAGTGCATCGCAAATATATTCTTATGTCACGCCTAGTCAGTAATTAAACCAATAGCAATTTTAATATATAATAACAAAGTTTAATGTATATTTACCCTCTGACTGTTTTGGAATACAGGAATATAAGTCATGCAGTTCTATTATCAAATTATGTTAGGGTACGTGTGTACTATCTAGAGGAATTATATGTCTGACAAAGAAAGGTGATATGAACGTTGATAGATGGCGTGTTGCAACAGCTGGTAGGTAGGGTTGTCTTTGTTCCTGACATTGTTGTAGGGGTTGTGATTACTGGGACAACATGTGGACTCAGCCTTTGTGTTCATGGGTCTGTCGGATAAAGCTGTGAAAAATCTTGGCAATCCCAATACCTGTCATGTTTAAAATCCTCACTGATAGACCATAATGTTTAAAATCCTCACCTATAGACCATAATGTTTAAAATCCTCACCTATAGACCAAAATGTTTAAAATTCTCACTGATAGACCATAATGTATAAAATACTTACTAATACACCATACTGTTTAAAATACTCACTAATATACCCTAATGTTTAAAATACTCACTAATACACCAAAATGTTTAAAATGCTCACTAATAGACCATAATGTTTAAAATGCTCACTAATAGACCATAATGTTTAAAATACTCACTAATATACCATAACGTTTAAAATGCTCACTAATGCACCATAACGTTTAAAATGCTCACTAATAGACCATAACGTTTAAAATGCTCACTAATAGACCATAATGTTTAAAATGCTCCCTAATATACCATAATGTTTAAAATACTCACTAATAGACCATAATGTTTAAAACACTCACTAATATACCATAATGTTTAAAATACTCACTAATATACCATAATGTTTAAAATACTCACTAATGCACCATAATGTATAAAATACTTACTAATACACCATAATGTTTAAAATACTTACTAATACACCATAATGTTTAAAATACTCAATTATAGACCATAATGTTTAAAATACTCACTAATATACCATAATGTTTAAAATACTCACTAATATACACCATAATGTTTAAAATACTCACCAATAGACCATAATGTATAAAATACTCACTAATACACCATAATGTATTAAATACTCACTAATACACCATAATGTTTAAAATACTCACTAATATACCATAATGTATAAAATACTCACCAATAGACCAATAGACTGTTTAAATACTCACCAATAGACCAATAGACTGTTTAAATACTCACCAATAGACTGTTTAAATACTCACCAATAGACCAATAGACTGTTTAAATACTCACCAATAGACCTATACAAAAAATCCCTGATTTCCTGTTCAACTTCTACAATGATGGAGATATTATGATGGTATAGTGACAAAATTAAAGGGTATACCCCTATGTAATGGTAATATGTCTTTGTGTGGGTAATGAATGATGTCATTTCAATGATTGACACAAATTCTTATATGCACAGATCTAGACTGACATTATAAATGTAGGTCATATATGTTAGTGTGATTGTGACAAAGTTTTTGATAACACACCTGCCATTAAGGTCAGATATCAGTTACAAAATTACTTTTAATATCTGGCCATTTTTTGGGAAAATTTTGGTGTTGTAAATTTGAAAGGAAGTTATGATATAAAGACATTTCAATAACCTGAAATTGTGTATGTGTTTATATTAAGCTTTGATGTAAACATTTTAATAGTTCAATTGGTTGCTGTTGTATTATTGGTAATATAAACATTTCAGTGAAATAACTCCAGTTGGTCTCTGGGGTATTACATGTAGTTGTAAATGACATTTACATGTAATTATTAATTATAACTGTAATTATTAATTATATATCTGTAAAGTAACTTGATTATAAACATTTAAATGACTTGTGATAATTAAAAAGTAAGTCATTGGTTTCTGTTGTATTATGGATGATATAAACATTTACATGGCTTGTGATAAATGTGGGCTGTGTAAGTAATAATAAAAATAGACATTTAGATTATTTAGATCACTGTGTTGGTTTCCGTGGTGGGGAAGTGGTTGTAATACTTCCACTTTGTTAAGGGATGTCATTGGTGGAGTCGACGTGCCCAAACTGTGAATTGTTAACTCTATACTACGGTCAGCAGGCCTATAGGGCTCAACACTAACACTAGTCCGCTAGTCCAGCTAGTCCTGGACTAGTAGATTTCAGCAAGGACCAGTCAATCACTTAACTGATCCTTTGGACTTGTGAAAAATATGATTATAAAAGAAGAACATTCTTTGATTTAGAAAACTGCTTAAAATAAAAAAAATATTGCAAGATAATTGTCGAATTTTTCTTAAAACTTCACCATATTTTTACGGCAGTAGTTATTTTAAGTCCCCAACATTCGATTACTTTTTCATGTTACGTGCTGTAGGTCGCGATATTTTGCCTTATCAGGAAATCTTGGACTAGTTACATTGACGAAGGACTTGTATATAATCTATTCAATTAGTCCTGTGAACTAACAAGCAAACAAAGTTAGTGTTTTACCCTGATCAGTGCCCAAAACTGAATTTAACTCAGCACTTGATTCTGGGGACAGTTTTAAGGGACAGCAGTGCGGCTAAAGAAATTCGGTGTACTTTTGATCTCTTATGTATAATTTGGTATGAATAATTAATACATTAGATGCTAATAATTGTTGCTAATCACTAGGTTAAGAGTGTGTCTAACCACATTATAAAACAGTTTTATTACTAAATAAACTGAAGATTAGGATTTAACAACCATTTGTTGGTGTTGACGGAGCGTCACCCTTTAACACTATCATTATGACTTAATAGAGGCCGTGTGTAAACAAAGAACCCCCACATGATAATTCCATATCAAAGGTAGCAAGTTACAGGTACCTACAACAATAGCTAGACAATGAGATAACATTATATGCTGTATTTTTTTCAATATTTGATAACAAAGACCTGGATGGTGTATGTGAGCTGATTGACCACCTGTATCACCTATCTGTGCCCGTTGTCGGCATGATTACACTGGGTGATGTAATCACAGGGACTACATGTTTCTATGTAATCTGTGAAGCCTGTTGATATAGCTCGGGGATTGTGGCCTCCAATGCCAAGAGTCGAGAATCAAATGAGCTTAGATTAAAGCTCACCTGTAGGACTTCATACACAGCGAGATAAGCTGAGCAGGCTGAGCATGTAATATAAAGGTCCAGTTAAAACAGGATAACTGTAACAGATTATAGCATAGGTCAGCATACAAGGTATAACAGTACAGATACTTTGGTAAACAATAAAATCGTCAAGTTTTGGTATACCTGTACAAAGTTTTGAAAATTTGATACTACGATGTTGTGAAATTGAGTGTTATATGTTTGTAACCAGGAGTTCCTTATAATGATAATAATGTTATTGCACTGCTTCAACCAAACTAAATCATAGGATCAATACTCACAGCCTTGGTGTGGTTTATGTTCTGTTAATGGAACAATAATGATTGATCATCTTGCCATTTTGTTTTTGATCTATGGAGGATATTAAAGAAAACAATATCTTGGGCTGAATTATGCCTTTTTGTGACAAGGAATGATGCATTGTGGTGATAGTAAACATACCCCCTGACTAGAATCTGTCTCATATCGGAAAAATTGTCATTATTAGTTACATCATCATCGATATTGGATGCTGGAAAACTTCTGTGTGGTGATGGTGGGCAGCTATAGTGATGGCTCCATAAATATACAGTGATGGTTCGTGTGTTTATTTGATTTAAAAGTATGATTATATAATCTTAGACTTAAGGTTCTGTTGTTACATTTGTTATCTGATAGTAACTATAAGTACTTCATAATGCTTGCAACAGTGATGAGCCATAAGGGTTGCTTCGAGTCACTTCACTCATATTCCGGGTGCTGAATTTTGTCTTCATTTTATGTAAACACCTGATCATACCTGTAAGGTATCTATACCTGTAGGAGATGGGGTAGACGCTGATCATATCTGTAAAGTAACTATACCTGTAGGAGATGAGGTAGACACTGATCATATCTGTAAGGTATCTATACCTGTAGGAGATGGGGTAGACACTGATCATATCTGTAAGGTAACTATACTTGTAGGAGATGGGGTAGACACTGATCATATTTGTAAGGTATCTATACCTGTAGGAGATGAGGTAGACACTGATCATATCTGTAAGGTATCTATACCTGTAGGAGATGGGGTAGACGCTGATCATATCTGTAAGGTATCTATACCTGTAGGAGATGGGGTAGACACTGATCATATCTGTAAGGTAACTATACCTGTAGGTGATGGGGTAGACACTGATCATACCTGTAAGGTAACTGTACCTGTAGGAGATGGGGTAGACGCTGATCATATCTGTAAGGTAACTGTACCTGTAGGAGATGGGGTAGACGCTGATCATATCTGTAAGGTAACTTTACCTGTAGGAGATGGGGTAGACACTGATCATATCTGTAAGGAAACTATACCTGTAGGAGATGGGGTAGACACTGATCTTAT